GTGATGTATGTCTAACTAATTTGATAGTTGATCCAAATTTTGATGGCAAAAACAAACTCTGATGGTTCACTCGATTAGCTAATACAGTTTGACGACTAATGCAATTTGATAGCTATTACAACTTTTTGATAGCAAATTTAAAATCTGATAGCTAATACAATCATCTAACTAATGCAATTCAATGCAATTTGATTGCTAATAGTAAATTTTGATACTTGATACAAAATTCTGATAGCTTATACTAAATTCTAATCAGTTACCAAATTGTATTGAGTATCAGAATTTGATATCAGCTATTAAAATATTGCATTAGCTATCAAATTGGATTAGTCATCAAACTGTATTAGCTATCGAAATAAATCAGCCATTAGAATTTTGATAGCTTGTACTAAAGTTTATTGGATGACACAGAATTTCAACAGCTGATTCAATTTGATAACTAATACATGACCGATAGCTAATGATGACCGATGAGCCTATACATCATTTTCAAAAGCTGATAAATTATGATAGCTAAGACGAACATTTTTTGACTAATATAACACTGTGATAGCTTATTTGATCTAATAGCTGATATATTCCATAGCTACAGTTCAATGACTAACTAAATTTGAAAACTTATACAACATTTTCATAGCTGATACAAAAATTTTATAGGTAACATGAAATTTTGATAGCTGAAACAGAATTCCAATAGCCAATACAAAATTTCAATAACTAATTCAATTTGATATCCAATAAAATCTGCTAGCTAATGCAATTCAATGGCTAATGCAATTTGATAGCTAACAGGAGAGTTCGATACAGAATTTTGATAGTTCTTACTGAATTATAATAGATAATACAGAATTTTATTAGCTGATGACCAATGCAATTTGACAAATTTTTTATAGCTGATACAAAAATCGAATAGCTACTACAGTTTCATAACTAATGAAATTCAGTAGCTGATACACCAGTTTGAATACAGATGAAAACATGATACCTAATACAACATTGTTATGACTAATACAAAACTTTGATAGCTCATTTGATCTGATAGCTAATGAATTTGATAGTGAACAATGCAATTTGATAGCTAATACAACATTTTTATAGCCGATACAAAATTTTGATAAACAATATAAAATTATGATAGCTAATACAAAATTCTTACAGCCAATAAAAATTTCGATAACTGATTCAATTTGATATCCAATACAATTTGCTAGCTAATGCAATTGATAGCTAATACAATATTCTAATAGCTTGTACTAAATTTCAATAGATAATACAGAAAGCTTCATAGCTAACACAAAAATCTAATGACGAATACAAAACTTTGATAGCTCATTGAATTTGATAGCTATTGAAATTTGATAGCTTATAAAGTTCGATTACTGAAGCAATTTGATAGCTAATACAGTTTCATGTTCAATGCACTTTGATATCTCATACAACATTTTGATAGGAGATACAGAATTTCGATAGCTAATATGAAATTATGGTAGCTAATACAAAATTTTAATAGCGAATACAAAACTTCGATAGCTGATTCAATTTGACATCTAATACAATTCGATAGCTGATGCAATTGAATGGCTGATGGAAGTTAATGGCAAATACAGTTTGATGACTGATGCAATTTGACGAAATTTTGATAGCTGATACAAAATTCTATCTCCTGTTCGGTGTCTGATACATTTTTACAGATTACTGATGCCTGAATAAATAACTTAATGTCTTCAGCGAAGAATAGCATTAGCAGCTGATGTTTAGGAAATTGAAAAACGAGATAAGATCAGTATCATAAACGAAGCAATTTATTCTCAGCCGCAGTAGTAGACGAAACGTTTTGTACTCCAAATAAAAGCCTTTATTTTCACAATGGAAGATATGTTGAGTTGGAAACTACATACAAATGGGGTCCGGAGATATTGTTGCTGATCTGTGATAGATTATCAAGTCTAACTACCAATTGTAAACTCAAAATCACACTCCATACATCGAGTCCATAACTCCGTGGTGACTTCGGTAGTTAAACTACCGATTATTTCACGAATAACTCAACCTTCATGTCGAGTAAGCAGTTCCAGTGCCATTATACTTGTTCAATTGGGTTTTCAATCCCGCTCAGAAAATTAACATGGGTTCTATATATGTATAATCCTGTACAACAGTCATTATCCTGCATCATGATTTGATTACTCTCTTGTACCTCGTATTGTACTTCCTTCAACTAGTGGCCTCTTGATCCTGACAACAATATGGAGTTACAACCCCTCCAGTGTGGGGTTTATACATGGCATAAACGGCCCTAGGAAAAGCTGCTCAACAACGGGTAATTGGATTTTGATGAGGTTCTTTTGAAATTACGAGGATGTTTAATTTTCCGCCAATTCAGCCGGAGGAATGTTCATAACGCGACAGAAACTGATAGAAATATACTAAACATTAGTTAGAGGATATGATGGAGAGAAATTCAGCGCTGATAAAGAGATATTCGTCAAAACTGAAGACTTTTTTGAGGCTAAAGACAAGACGTACTATAAAAATGCTATCAAAAAATTGTTATATCGCCTCGGAGGCAACTATATTGGAAGTCAAAATCAAATTTCATCACCAAAATGTTTTTCAATGACTACAGTTAGACATGCAATAAGATTAGGCCCGAGACTTTCCAGCCCATGTAGTAATAGCATTTATCATTGAAGTTCAGTTAAAAGTCATTCGGTCGCCTCTTGGGTTAAAACCAATGAACTATAATTCAGTGCTTCGAATATCATATGGGTCAGCTACTCCGCATCCAGTACATTCAAAGTTCCACTGCAAAACGAGGAATAGTAGTATTTAAGCCCCGCTACAGAGGATGAAGTTGGAGTTTAAACGAGGTGAGATTTCAGTATTCCGTAATAAGCTGTGGATGTGTTTTGCGTTTTGATGAACAGGAAATAGAAGATTATGCTCGGGAATATTTAATTCCGCTGCTTTGTCAGAAAAGCGAGTGGTCTCATACAAAGTAGACTGAATTAGACGTGAGTGTTTCTTCAAATCATCTCATTGCCTTAGTTGGCCCCTATTTAGAGACATTAATACCTCTATTTCACGACTCGTTACTATTTAGCAAGTTTGATGAAATATATGTACATATTGGCATGAATCTGAATTCGAATACATCTTGATTTTCTTCTGTCGTCTGAAATCTCTTTCAAAAGTTAATAGATTTATGTGTTGATGTTTTTAGGAATTATTACTACATAATGAACCAATTTGTTTACTATCATTTCAACTTTTTCCTACTTTGGTTACTCCCTCCACATTTTTCCAGTTACTATTTTTGTTCTTCTTTCACTTGTATTAATCGAGAAGTGATTCATTTTTCCGAATCAACAAGTATTCAGTGTTGAATCTTTTTTCACTAAGTAGAAGACTTTCCTCAATAAAACCAACAGAATACAACTGATTCTACAAGTATGATCAGTTCTTTTTCATTTGTAAAATTGTAACTGAAACTTGCTCTATGTGTACTCGTATCGAAACACAATTGTAATTCCAGTCTTTCAATTATCCTCAAATATATTTGACTATTAAGTACGATCTACCCACCATGTAATACAGAATTTTGTTGTAAAGTAAAAAAAATACTCGAAAAAGTAACAACACTGAAGTATTCCCATTCCAATTAACTCATCTACTGAAAAAGAATCACTTTTCCTCGATGTACAAACATTATATCTGAAAAAAGTCATGAAATTTCCACACAGTGTAAACGAATGGCCAAAGAAAATCGGACAAATGTAAAACTCAACCGAGACAGCACAGCGAAATATGCAAGAATTAGCACTTTGAACTTTCAATTGAATTTCCACCATTATAATTGAGCAAACTGAACAATTATTCGGTGAAGACAGTTTCCACAACTGATATAGAGCGGCAGTCGCATATGCTTGATGCAAATTAAATTCTGTTCCGGTAGAGCGATTAGATATATTACTGTGCCTGATTCGAGACATATAACTTGGCTTGCTGAATCACTTGAAGCATTTGATTTCTACTCAGTGTGGGTGATTCAGAAACTAGACGTTGATATGTTCTTCACAGCTAATTTTCCTGTTGCATAATCTAATGGGATTCTTTGAAACATCTGTTTCAGAAATCACTTGGAAAAAACAACTCATTGATAGCTAGGTTTTTGGCTTCAGAATTTCAAACTTTGTGTCACAATCAATCACAAATGTTTTTACTTTGTAGGTGTTATCGATTATGATAGCTAGTTGATGCTAAATAACTCACTTCGATTCAATTCCTCCTTCTTGTCGGTTGGAAATGTTTCTTTGTTCATATCCACATACAGGGAAAACCCTCGTGGAGTTCAACCATATTTATTTCATTATATACGTAATTTTTCATCATTCTATGTATTGATACTCTGATATTCTAAAGTAAATATCATTATTATTATTATGTATTTCTATCGCCCCTCTATATACTCTTGAATAGTAATTGTATATAGGGATGCCACAGGAATTTATAAACACACTGACAATTTCGTTCGAAAGAAAGAGGGAACTAAAATAAGCAAAATCCAATCACCACACACACCACCTATAGAATAGAACCAGAGATACATTCCAGTAGGATCTACTCTAAGAACAACTCAGTACTTTGTACTCGTCTCACCGCCTAATTCCTACGGATGGTTCATCTAAACTCTTATCTACCTGGACCCAACAAAAGATTCATTGTAGTTTCTAAGTGTGCCGTTAGGACTTCACAATGCCCCAGCTACGTAGCAACGGTTTATCGACCGATGGATTGACGTAATTGTATGTAACTTTTCCAAAGCACGTTGATTAACTTGTTAGAATGCTATTTGATAAACAAAAGACAGGCTCAAGTTTGAAAGAGGTCAAATGTAAAGTCTGTATGGCAGAATCGCCACAATAATTTTCTTGTCTTTTTTTACGAATTCGAAAACCGAAGCACTTCCATCATATTATTGATATGTTACTTTCTTTCAGCTAATGTTCCGAAGACCACCGACCAATTAGGCAGTTCATATACGTCTCTCTACTCAGAACTCTCAGGAAATCCACCTTTATGGATAACTCATGTTTCCGGAACCTATCATGATGACATATACGTGAACAATGCGAGGATTCTAGTGAGCCAGTCAAACATTCAAGGAAATGAGAATAATCTGCTGCAGGTGAGAACACCACTTAGTGGATAAGAATACAGCGAATCACCAACAGTTCGGCAAGATCGCCCTGCATATGTATAATTGAGAATCCCGCTTCGGTCATTATACTCATTTACTCAATGAAATTATCATCCTACGTGATTTACACGATACAAAACAGACCCCACTTACTTTGAACCATATGTTTCCAGCCCTAATAGAAACCTTTCATTTTCTCTTTTCGCTCCCCCTACGGTAGAATCATCCCTTATTGAAAACAGAGGCTATTCCAAATGATATGAGACCGGTGTGTTCAACGACAAGGAACATACCTGATTGAAGGTATAATTTACTTTTTCATGCAACATTAAGTGTATAAAATCATCCTCCATTATTCCCGAGAGGGTTGCCCGTGATTGCTGGACCGGTCTAGTTTCCGAGGAGCTCTTTCAGCATTTTACGATTTTCCACCAAATATATTCCAAACTGACCGCTATAGTAGGGGAAATGTGACCAAAATTCTAATTTCCAAGATGATATGAAAATTCAATCTTCTTGTGCGTTGAATTATCTCGTGAAAAGTCTATAACTCGCAGTATAAGAGTATTATTTTGAAATATCACCAAAATATTGATATTAAATGGATTTTTTTGAAATTAATGTTATTCTGACCATTTTTTCACTTTCTAAAAGGGTGGTTGAAAAACGTTTCAAAGTG